CGCTAAGGTGGTTCATGGTGGCCAAGGGAGCTCACGACAACGAGCGTTGAAAGTTTTCCCTCCATCTCTGTGATTTCTTTTCCTTTATCTTTTGAGGGTTGTTATAAAGCGAATGATATTTTTGGATGATTTATACCCCACCATGAACTAAACCTTATTTGGTGTGAGTCATTTATGGATGATTAATTGTTTATTTTAATGAATGGTTTAGTTTTTTGGTTATTATTTGCTTTGTTTATTGTATTTAATTACTTAGGATTATAAGATCTATGAGAGTAGTTGTTTCTTAGGTTCACCACTTAGTGTTTGAGAGAAACTAAATGGTTCGATGCTTAGTGTTCGAGAGAAACTGGGTGAGGATCAATGTGAGCAATGGGTTTTAGTTTTTAACTAAGACCTAATCTACCTTAGAGATAAGGATAGGATTTTAACGACTAAAATAAGTAGAACTTAATCGATAGGTTTTATGCTATTGTTCAAGCTAAGAGGTATTGCCGTGGCATTTTCATCTGTTAGGTTCTTTGACTAGAGATAGCATAGGGGCACTCTTAGCAAAATTTGTCGAGTAAGTAAGCCATAGAACCATTCTAGAAAACAAAGCTTAGGATTCCTTAGTAACCCCACAAATTATTCCCATTGCAACTTGTTTGTGTGAGGATTGTCTAGTTATCTTTTTTAATCCTGAATTCTCAATTGTTTTTGTCTTAGCATTTTTAATTGGTTACACTTCATACATCTCACATGGCCATAGCATTTTCATCATGCTTAATTGCCACATTGTCATTATATCTTATTTTTCTATAATATTTTTGTTTGTCACCCATCCATACTACCATTGAAATTTCATGTACATATATTTCATTTTACCACAACATTATCATTGTTTGATACCATCACACTAACTATACTTAGATAATTTAGATTGATTCTTTAACTTAACTTGAAATTTCATCCAATCCATGTGGAGACGATACTCACTCACTCTATATTACTTGTTCGATTGTGTATACTTGCACATATTTTTGCGTAATTTATAAGTACACAAAACGTGCAACACACATGAACATCTAAGTTTGGATGATCCTGATTGAGCCTGCTCGCGGTGTATGTATGAGGTTGGACGTATTTTTGTTAACGTCCACATGTTGTTCATCTTTTTCAATCGTGATACGCCAACCCTCTAATTATAACCTTCGTGTTTGTGGACACATTCGACGGTATACTTGTCCGCGTCTATTTTTTTCACATTTGACGTAACCCAATGATGTATATTATAGTTCTTAATTGCATCCGCAGTGAGTTCTTTCGTTTTAAACGTCATTCCAATATAAAGCTCGCCATGAGCATGTTGGTGGTATTCATCAAGCTCTGGTAATTGGGAAAATTTCGTAGCGTTTAGAGGTTCCATAACAACCATTATGAAGTGAGATGGTGGCTCGTAATAAGAAACTTGAGGTATGACATATGAAATTTCATCATAATTCTCTCCCTTTGACATATTTAGATCATCTGGTTTTTCATTGAAAGGGCCTACCTCGTAACCATCTAGGCTGATCTCCCTTAGTAGTTCTTCATAAGAAATATCCTCCTCAAGCTGAAATAGTTCAGTGTCGTCGACTACGGGGATAACATAAGTAGCAATTGAGCGTCAATCATGAGACCGCTCATGAACCGTTCTACCAAGATCAAAGTCGACATCAGCAGCACAAGAATACCTTAGCATCGAAGATGATAAAGCACCAGCACCACTACAATATTGATTGTATGTTGAAAGTTGTGTTGCTAGTTGATTTAGGTAAAAGTCCAAGCTAGCGACGTAATAATGCGTTAGCATTGAAGATGATGATGCACCCAAGTCAGCCCAACTTTGTGTACTTAATAAATTGAAGTCTTTACGTAAATTAGTTGTCGGACTATAAACATTTGGATCGAAGTCAAAATCTGCCCATGTCCAACTTGGGATACTAACTGTAGTAGCATCATTAGCGTTAGAAAAAGTTTCATATAGCTTAAGTGGCCCTCATAATGAATACTGTATGTGACAATCGAGCATCATGTCCTGCGACCATATAGAACATTGTTCTTGACTTTTTTCATCAACTTCTTATAAGTTAATTTCTTCGACAACATTATCATAACAGTATATTCGGACTGAAAGATGGTGTCGAGAGATTCATCACACATAATATTGTCATCATAGTATACTAAATCAATAACACTTCCTCTCTTTGATATGTGTTGAAGATATCTATGATCATGCAAAGAGAAGAACAAAGTATGCAATAAATTATAATTACTTCAATCTATGTAATAATTGACAAGCGTCAAATAAACTTACCACTATAGTTGTTGATCAAATTCCTTATCTTTGCCTTCACTTAAGTTCTGTATGGTTTGTTTGTTCACCTTCAATTGCTTAAACTAAGGATTTGAATGGAAGTCTTGTTTTTTTAGTAGACTAGTTTCTTGACATGATGTTCAAGAGACATAGGCCTGCAAATTATATTTCTGACGTGATGTGGTAGGTAACTCGCGTTTTGCAAAAAGCGAGTTATTCAGAGATTCCTGATGTGGCATAAGCTGATTCGATGTGGGAAATGAAATGAAACTCGCGGTGAATAAGGCACGAGTTTACTGCCACGATGGTTATATAAAAATTATACCTCTTTTCCCACTAAACCTAATCATCTTATTTCATTCATAAATGATCTATTCATTCTCATAAATTTTCACTTCTAGTTTGAAAAAGACATAATCTTCCGGTGGCAGTTATAAAAAGTTTTTGCCTTGCTTTGCAAACCTTGTCCTCTATTAGCCTTGTACTTCGTTACCCTTCTGACACGACGCGAGGTTCCTCTATTAGGAAAAAATGCTATTGAGGTTTTTCTTTTGTATTTTTGTACCGAGAGTACCAATAACATAAGGCTTCCTCTTTTGGTGGCATTTAGATTTCCTATTGGGGCTCTCGAGACTCTTCTTGCAAGCGAACACCCTTTGACAAATGCTTGGGGCTCTCGCGGCTCTAAAGGTACAACAATTTTCAGGTTGTTATTGTGAAAAACACAAGGCTCTAAGACGAAGTTTTCCTTTAATTTTTCTGTCGTCTTGGTATCCGTTTATTATAGAAGGCAACATCGACTTGTTCTGTGTATTAAAATTAAAATGTACATATCCATTTTTGGAGTCGTTTAAGCCAATACTAAATTATGTTTGTTAGTTTAAACGTGATTTATTTTCCTTTGTAAGCATTTTAAACATGATTGGTACACCATTTACAAGTTGAAGATAATAACACCTCTAAGCTCAAACGTTCATTGACAATGTGTTATTTGTAACGCCATTTATAAATTAAACTTCATATAATAATACCTTAAAAAATAATATCATTATGGAATCGGACCTCGCGTTATACATATAGTGAGGTTCATCAAACGTCAAATATTATTCGATTCAGATTCATTGTATCTCGCACCCTGTGAAATGCAAGTTATAGTATGATTCATTAATATTATTCGATTCAAAGTGTGGCGCCTTTTCAACGTACCTCGCGTCTTCGAAGACGCGAGGTCTCTATGTTCGCTTCGTAATCAATGCGTGGACAATTATAATTAGGGCCCATTTTGGATGTCTTCCTAATCCTATTTCCAAACAAAATGATAAAAAGAATATGTTTTAATATGGTGCAATTATTCCCGAGAGAGGTGTTATAAAAAATTCTTGTGCACGTGGCTTGTAATTCTATAGTTGATTTCGTCAACACGCAATTAAGTTGCAACGGATAGAGATTATATTTTTCAAAATGTTTCAATGAAGAATTACGTTATCATGACGTGGAACCAAGCCGATAAAAGGTTTCATGAAAGATGTTCCGCTCCTAATAATCATGAAGCTTTATATAGTGAAGACGTGTATAATTATTTTAGTGGAATAAATTCGAAGTTCAGTCTACAATGTTTGAAGCAAGCAGCTGAAAAAGGTGATAACAACATATATGTGTATAACCTCATTCTAATTTGTTTCGGGGGCAATTTAAGGGACGGAGGATTTCAAATCTTGAGAACTCTTGATCTCACGAAAATAAATTTAGAAGTTATTCGTCAAGAGATGAATCTGTTTTTAGGGTTAATGTCATGGCTCGTCACAATATTGTTTTCCCAGAATAAATCGAAGCATGCACTTGTCCTACCGACTGCTCATGTAATTCACACCACCATCTTTGGCAAAGATACAATAACAATCTATGTACTTGTTATGCTTCTTGTTTTTGGAACCATGAAACAATTTTGTTTTTTTACATTCTACAATTAGGTTATGTAAGAGAATATAATTTATTAAACATTATGTATAAAAATATTATGTTTCAATAAATGTTATTTTTATTAAAGATTATAGAAGTTATATTCAAATAAATATTATATATAAAAATATCATGTTCGAATAAATGTTATATTATTAGATATTATGTTCAAATAAATGTTAATATAAAAAAACATTATCATGTCATATAAATAAAATTCTTACATTTAATTCGAATAACATATCGCTCGTGACGATTCAATGTCTTGTGGACTTCGCGTTCTGCAGAGTGCGAGGTATTAAATAAAAATATTAAATATCGTTATGTGAAAGTGCATCAACGTATGACGTACCTCATGATGAGAGTCGAGTAATTGTATCGCATTTCATAAGACGCAAGGTAATCTGACGTGTGCATTTTAGAGGGCATCCATCTAAATAATCTTGGGAGGAGGTTGGATGTTTAAAAAATTATTTAATGGGGTTATTGATTTAATAATGCCCTTAAAATCACGAGCTCTGAATTGGATATAAAATGACGTTGTGGGAAGCAAAGGGGAAATAAAGGAATTCCAACAGGTCATAGAGTATTCAAAATCAAATACATTTCAATCCAATAGGTAATTAGAATCGCTGTTCAACTCACAGCCACACACACCAACCTGCCACTGGCCACACCATTTGGGAAAAGAACAAAGCCACCCCTTCGTTTTAATCACAAACGAAAGACCAAAAACCTTTGTGTAAGCAAACAGGAATCAAAATGGGAACCGTCATAGATTCCCATTTCTTAGCTCTAACGGCCATTGTTACTGTATGCTTTATTACTTTAATTTACTTCTCTCTCCTCTTCATCTTATTTTTAAAGAATTCTCTCTTAATTGATTTATCTTGGTGTTTGGTGCAGGTGGGATATCAGTTATTTTTCTTTATTGTCACTGCTCTTCTCAAGTTTGATAAAGTCACCGACTTTGCTGGTACTTACCTAATCCTCAAATTTATCTTCTTTACTTGTTCTTTACTTCGCAAGTTTTACAAAGTTCAAATCTTCAGTAAAAGTCAATGTTATTCTCCTTTGGTACCCGAGTTAGAGTATTTGCGTCTGCAGGCTGTGTATTGTCAATCGACTAATAAAATTTTAAACAGAGGCTATCTTGTAATGACATATTTCAGACTATTACAAAAATTCTTCAAATGCCAAAATAGTTTTCTTGATTCATTGGTTTCTAACAAGAAATAAGAATTACTTTTATACGATTATCTTTTACAATTTAGGTGTTGATATCGTTTTTTTTTGTTCACTCAGGAAGCACAAATTTTGTTATAATTGCGGTGTTGACTCTGGTAATTAAAGGATCATGGCATTTTCGACAGGTAATTCGAAATCACTATTTTTTTTTTCAAATATGGAAAGTACATTGACGAAGTTACGAAGTACTTTCATGACATCCTCAAATAATTGACTGCGTAAAATTTTGCATGAAATACCAGTGAACCTCATATAGGATTCTGATTCTGATAAGAATTTTACTCCGAAACATTACTGATTTAGCTGATCTGTTACTTTAGTCACACTTTGCATTTAATTGTTTGCTTATGCATTGGAGGAAGTAGCCATAAACATAATTCTATTCGTACAAAATAGGTTCAAGTTTTTCATATTGAGTGGTAAAGAGATATCTTAACATTTTCCTTTCCATATCCTTTTTTGTAGAAGAAGTGAAATAGAAAACATTTCTTTTTTGTGTTATCATATGGTGTCCTCAAGCCACATTGGGCTCGAGAGTAATCCCTCTTGAGCCAAGAGCGTTAAATAAGCTCTTCCAATAGTGCGCTTCCCAAGATTCAAATTCATATCCTCATCCATTAGGCGGTTGAGGCCGCTACCTCGTCAACCAACATCTTGTTGGCAAAAGAAAATGTACTTATATTTCCTATGCATTTTTAGTTGAGGATCTTGACGATTTGACCCTTCTGAATGTATTTCAGCATGGAATAATGTTCAATAGACATTTTCATTTTTCACTGAGTGATTTTGCAATTCTTCTTTTCAGGTAATCTTGACTTTGCTTGTAGTAATATGGGGACTACGCTTGGGACTATTTCTATTGATGAGGTATAATAGTATGGAAATTTATAGTTATTCAAAGTTATGTTTTTTTTTCTGAAGCAGTGCTTTCTGTAACAATTCTTTATATGTAAGTTATTCACAGTTATGTTTTTTTGTCATTATGGTGTTAAGAATTTTGCAATGGGGCGAGGATCAACGTTTTGATGAGATGCGTAGTAATTTGGGGAAATTAGCAATTTTCTGGATATTTCAGGTATCCTTATCTATCTGAGTATGTCTATTTCTTTTCTGTTTGTTGACCGAACATTTAATAAACCTCAATGCACCCCAATATTACCATGCATTGCAGGCTGTCTGGGTGTGGACTGTGAGTTTACCTGTAACCGTTGCCAATGCGAGCGATAGAGATCCATCCGTTCAGGCTGCAGACATCATAGGGTGGATTATGTGGTCAGTGGGTCTCTATATTGAAGCTACGGCTGATCAGCAAAAGCTTTTTTTAAGAATTCTCCGAAAACAGAGGAAAGTGGTGCAATATTGGACTATGGAAATACTCTCGTCATCCAAACTATTTCGGTGAGGTGAGCATCACGACTTTCTGATGTCACCAATTATTCTGGTTGCTTTGTTTCCTAGATGATTCTATCTACAAGTAATGCTTGGTTTATTTTATACCCCAAATGGTAGATGGTGTGATTAAGTGCATAATTCATTTTTATCTTTTTATCTTCCATACTCCATCTTGCCGCCTCTTATTACCTCCTGCATTGTTCAATCATGTGTTTTTGAGATATAAAAGGAGGAAGTAGGTTCATCTATGTTTTTCTGGTTTACTATATCTGGTGCACCTTCTGTAAAAAATACTGAAATTTTATTTGGTTTGCCACATCATTCCTAACTAACATAACCTCTACCTTATTTTAACTTTATCATAGTTAAGACTAGACTTCAGTTTCAATTTCTGTATTAAAATATCTAATGCACCTGTAATTGTGGGTGGTAATGGTTATATCACTCAAATGACGTGATTTTCCTTTTGTTCTTAACAAATATTGGCAAGATTTTCCTTTGGTGGGGAATTTTCATCGCCTCTGTTCCAATACTCGAAGGTGCTGAATGGCTCGTAATTCTTGGGCCAATCTTTCTGACATTGCTACTTCTTTTTGTTAGTGGCCTACCACTGCTCGAGGTTCCATTGTCCTACCCTTGAGTTCTTATATTATAAGATCTTGCTACAATTCTGCAATCTGCTTTACTGATATTATATTACATCTCACAGGAGTCCTCGGACAAGAAGTTTGGTACTGTTCCTGCATATAGGACTTACAAGAAAACAACTAGGTTTGCCAATTTGCTTCCATTTCATCTCTTGAACTATGAATTGGAGAAGTTACTGAGTTTAGCATCTCTCTGGTTTCAGTCCTCTCATTCCACTGCCTCAAATCGTATATGGGAACCTACCGTTATGGGTCAAAGCTACTTTTCTCTTTGAATTTCCTTTCTACAGTCGGAGTTTGCCGCAAGTAGGGCCAAACTGGTGAGATTAAATCTAATCTTTTTGCAAATTGTTATTATTAGACTGTTACACAAAATTATCAGCTTTGCTAGTTTGATATTCTATACTGCATTATTTGATTGAATTTAAAATTAAAATACGAAGATCTTGGGGTACATATGTGGAAGAACCTACTGCCATTCACCTGTCTGTGCTGTTTGACTGACTGGAGTAGCTAATTCTTTATTCTATGTATCACATTGGACCAAATGAGCTTTTAGTTTCCATTGAACCAGTTTGATCTGGTTCTTTAACAATGCATATAACCTATATTGCTTATAGGTATATATTCGTTGCTGGCATTCTTTGACTGAGTTGTACTTGTACAAGGATGTTTTAAGTGCCAACTTGCTAAAACATGACACAAAAGAATCGTTGATAGTATATAATTCAAGAAATTCCACGTCCTTGTAAAAGGGATTGTTGTTCTTCTTAGAGGTCCCGGGTTCGAGCAGGGTGTGTGGATGTTGTCAATAGGCTAAGAAAACATTTGAATAGATACTACCTTCTAATCATCCCAGACTATTCAAAAAAATTTCCACATCCTTCCACAACTCGGTCAATCTTTGAACATTTCCACCAACTCAGTCTACCTTTGAACATTTTAATAGACTGAAAATCATACCCGGCTTGCTTATTTTTTTTTTCCTTTTTGACGCATGCACGTTAAGGGTGTGTTTGGAAAAATAATATAATTTCGTAAAAATGTAATTACTACCTTAGTCACGTGTAGTTACAAAGAATTCTAATTCGTTGTACATGTTTGGCTAGCAGAATATAATTACATCTTAATATCCTATGTCATGTTTGATGGTACAAATTGTAATTACATAGTTATAAGTTTAAATTTTAAAAATAATATTAATTATAAAATTGAAGAGTGTAGTTATTCGTGTAATTACACCAATTCTCACCCTTTCTCCTAAGAAGAGTCTAATTGGGGGTCTTCAGTTATACTCGATTCAGCGAGACCCACACATTACAATGGTTGGTCAAACATGTCATATGTATGTAATTACATCCAAATCCAGTTTCCATGTAGCTTTCCAAACGCGCCCTAAACCTAAATGTTTTTCCTTTTTCATTGAAGACTATTTTTTTTTACAATTTGTGTATCCTTATATGCAACTATGCGTGTCTAAATAATTGAAGTTGGGTAGAGGTGTGGAATGTCAAATGGATAAACCAGTTTCCACACAAATTTAGGACATACAAAAGTAAGCAATAGAATGAGACACTGGAATTTATTTACGTAGTTCAGACATAAATCTATGTTTTTAAGGCTTTTGTCTAGTGAAGAATTCGATTACAAACAATGATTTAAGTCCTCTTCTAGTTAATCTTTATCTCCTAGTCAACCCAAGGAAGTTATCCCATGGATATATATCATGATAAATGAGATTATATTGCAGCCGTATAGTCATGGTCGAGTAGGACTGCTCACAGCAATTTGAAATTTTCACATTTGGACAGTAAATTCTCTTTTACTAGATTGATGATTATCTGATAAACTGCTACTTTGTTCGACTCAACAGTGGATAAGAGTCATAATATAAATAAAAAAATGCTTTCAATTTTATTTAATTGCACATATGTGGATTGAAGATATGGAAAGGGATGTGGCCACTCCATAAACCACATGCCTGAGTACACTGCCGTCCCAAGATATATTAAACTGAACTAAAAATGTTGAGAAATGGGATTGTGTTTGTAAAGCATGAAACTCATAGCACACTGTGAGCTTGTGAACTTAATTTGAGAATTCTTATAATACGATTATTTATAAATATAAACTTTGCTCAATATATAACACGATTATATGTTTGCAGTTGCTTTATTATTACTTTCCCCATTGCTTTTTCTAGAGGTTATTTATGCCCTCTTTCTTCATATCCATTGTTCTTTTGCTTGAAGTATGTTTAGTATTTAGTTGTCCTTCATAAGGTGGACTTGACATATGCTTGGTTTCCTCACAACCCTACTTCACTTAGGAAGGGAATTTGTTTTCTCCCAAGAGCCGAAAATGAAAGCAAAGTGAGGCGATAAAGAGTAAATTTGTAATGAATAAAGGCAAGTGATTCCCTAGATTTTTATGTTCACAAAATAAAGTGTTTGTGATACAATAATAGTGGAGTCTCTAGTTATGCAATCCTTCAAGTGTGTGTGTTTAAACATTTTAAATATACCCAAAGAGTGTTTGTGTCTTTAAATGATAATAGAAATTTGAAACAAATAGAAGCAAAATATTGATATTCTTTAATGACATACAGGATTTCTTTCCTTTGATTGTTTTCTAACATCATTTCCTCTTGTGCAAGGCAGAAATCAAGGATGGATTAGAAGTGGTAGTATTCCTTGGTTTGACACGTTGGTTTCACAACTTTATTGGCACTTTCAGAAACAAATAGAAAATACGAAGAAAATATCTAAAATGCACGTGAATTTGAAATTTTCAGGGATTGCCGAGGTCTAGCACTGGGCACCTTTAACGTGAAAGCAATAGGACCGTATGGCAATGCTATTGTAGTGTTCTTGTTCTTGAAATTCTTCACTTGGGAGAGCTTTTAATTTTCTACCTCATCTGATTAGACTTTACCTTCTTGTAACATTCTTCTTGTCCTTGTATCCTCTCTTATGAAAATAAAGACCATTTGCTTTGGGTTAAATGACTTTGAAATTGAGTTTAAACCCTGTGTTAAATGGTTTTCCCAGTTCAATTGAAACCTACATGGTCTTTAAAGCAACATGATAAATTACTTGAATATGAAGAAATTAGTTAAGCATGTTTAAAAACAAATTGAGTGGGTTTGCTAGTGGAAAATAGCAATACCAAAAAGAGAAAAGGCAAATGATGAAAAATAGAAAGCCTTTGACCCCTGTTGTCTGAATCAATCTTTCATCGTCAAGAATCCGACGGCTTAGATTCGTCGTCATTACTCATCGTCCATCTTCCGAAATCTACATTCCCATCACCGTCGGAATCAACGGGCTCCATCATTCTTGCACAATCATCGACCCTACACTTCATTCACAGCTGATTCAAAACAAGATGCAACTTGTTCACCGAGATCAGGCCGTTCTTGTCCCGTTCAGACAGATCGAAGGAGACGGCGACTCTATCGGAAGACGAGCGGCACAGAGTGGAGAACTCGGACAGATCAATGATGCCGTCTTTTTCGGGGTTGATGTCTTCCAAGACATGTTTCAGTTCATCCTCCGAGTAGCTGCTGGAGCCCATTAATGGCATCCAACCTCCAATCCGGTTTACCACTCCCTGTCCAAACACGTTGATCTGGATGTGCATTTTGTTCGTGAGAAAGTAGCTGCTGATCAACTGTAAGTGAATTATGTGCCAGCTGCACATCAAGTTGCTGACGGGCTTACCAAGGCTCTTGCCAAAGGCAGCTTCTGAGGTGTTTCGGTCCAAGGTTTGTGTGATACCAGTCTAACGAAGAACAGGAGATTCGAAAAAGCAGGGGAATATTGGAGGTTAAAAATGCCATGACTTTGCCATGCATACGTGGCAGAAGAGATCTATTAAGAATTTGTTAGTCAGCTGAGGTGGTTACTGTGTTGTTAGGCAGTTGGGGCTATTTGTATGTCCATGCATTCTGTATATATATCCATGTACACTTCTGTCGCAATCGTCTTTCGGTTGGGTCCCGGAATTGGGCTTCGACTTAGAAAAATGTGGATTGGAGTCGCCACCGATCAAAAAAAAAAAAAAATTTAGGCTGATCGGACACCATCTTACCTGATCTGCGTTTTACCAGAAATGTGTCGGATTCGGGAGTCGGTTACGGTCAAGGAAGGATTAGCACCCTTGAACCGCCCTTTCGGTACTATGTAATTTCCAATTGTCTTAATTAAGAAAATTATAGTTTTAGATTAAAAGGTAAAAAATATCGATCCAAATCACTTACCTTAGATTGGTTTAGAAATCCCTTAAAAAGTCAAGAAACGAGTTAGGTAATAAAAGTGGTAAAATAAAATGAGGAAAAATAGAAAATAAAAATAGTTAATATATATATATACCAATAATCAAAAAAAAAATGAAGACATGGAAGATAAAATTACTAGGAAGAATATGAGGCAAACAGACAGAATAAAGAAAAAAACAAGGTACAAACAGAAGTATGAATAAATATAAAGAAAATACAAAAGGAAAAAGAAAATAAGGAGAGAAAAATAGAATAAGAATATAAACCAATAAATAGAAAAAAAAGAAAAGTACAAACACATATTAAAAATCTACATAAGAAAAATATATGCAATAGAATGAAATATATAAAGAACGAAAAAAATATATAAGTAATATATATATATATATATATATATATATATATATATATATATACTATAGTATAAATAAATAAATAAAGAAAAAGAAAAAATATAGGATATTATAACAATGTATATATACGTATATATATACATAAGAAAAATATATACAATAGAATGAAATATATAAAGAACAAGAAAAAAAATATAAGTAATATATATATATATATAAAATATAATATACTATAGTATAAATAAATAAATAAAGAAAAAGAAAAAATATATTATATTATAACAATGTATATATACGTATATGTATATAGAGAATCATAATGAAATAACGCAAACTTGGGTGACCGAATTAAAAGAAAATCAGAAACAGAGACTGAATCTTAAAGAAAATTGGATTCAAAATTGAAATCAGGGATCAAATCGAGCCTTAAAAAAATGAGAGGACCAAACGTGTAGTTTCTCCTTTCGTTAAGAAAAACACGCGAATCTTAGTATATAACTTAAGTTTAAAAAAAAAAATTCATTTATTCTCTTCTCATCAGCCGAATCCCTCTCCCATCTCTTCGTTTTCTCTCTTCAGTTCATCCTTGGATGAACACGCCGCCACCTGGGTTCCTGATGAACCCAGAAAACACCCGTCGCCGCCTCGCCGCCGCCGTTGAACGGCGACGACCACCGTTCATCGGCGGCAAAAATCAAAATTTTGCATTTTTCCGAGAGGTCTTTGTACCCTCGTTTAAAAAAACATATTGATTTTATGAAAAGGAAGCATCGGGAGGGTAGATCTAGAATAGATCCACTCGAAATACCCCTCCCCGGGTCATCGGCCGAACATTTCTTTGGGGTTTTCCGGGCAAAATAGCAAGCAACACTCGACATGCAACGATGAAACACGAACAAACAAAGGTGAAAAAAGAAAAAACGCTACCTTTTTATTCTCTTTTTCGAAAATCTCTACAAGTGTTTGAAATTTCTTTGTGTTGGCTATGATGAGTTTGCGTGTGTGGTGATTTCTCTGTGATCCAATCCATCCGTAGTGTTACAAATGTGTATTATTTATACTGAAAAAACTGACTTATTTTTAGGCTCCTGTTAAAAGTAGAATTCTAATGCATGTTGGTTGTTGATTTTGTGGGTCGTTGGTCGCTTCCTTGAGCCGGGAGAATCGGGATGACCGTTGATGGAGAGAGGCATACGGACTGAGGGTCCTCGGGTAAGCGGCGCCGCTTGGAACGAGGCATGGAGCTAGGGTTCTGGAGACTTTGGGTGTCACGGGCTGCTCTCGTGGGATTTGGGTCTTGTTGGGCCACGTGTAGCAAGCTACTGATGTATCAGGCCTGCACAAATGTAAAGAAATAATATTAATAATATTATATATATAATTATACAATATAATTATATAATATAACAAAATGATAAAATTGAGTGTCTTCAGCTGCCCCTCTTTGCTCATTGTCGTGTAACGAGAATGGAGCAAAGATTAAAAGACACGAATTTCAGCCATATCGAATATCTTCTATCGTGGAGTTGAAATCCGATATCAAGACTGATTTGTTGATTTGGATTGAATCTCGAAATGACTCCATCGTCTTGAGATTGAGTTGAAATGGGAAATTCTGAGCACGAAATCCTTCGTTGTGAAGTTGAAAACGATCTCAAAGCTTTTGACAAGTGGCCTCTGAATCGTCTTCTAGCTCCAGATACTTCGTCGTGAAGGTGGAACTTGACCTGAAGACTTTGGTGTTGTGCTGCTACAGATGACCCCTTCGTCGTGAAGTTGAGTCAATCTGTTGGGGTATGATACCCTTTGTTGTGAAGTTGTATATGTATATGGCCCCTTTCGTTGTGAAGCTGAGCCTGAGAACTGGATATCCTTCGTCGTGAAGTTGAAATCCAAGTATTGTCCCGAGTCCAATATCTTTCGTTGTGAAGTTGAAATTGGCTCTAAATTTGAGAAATGTTTGTTGACAACCAGCGGTCCCTTCGTCGTAAAGTTGAACTTGCATTGTCTGGAGTCTGATATCCTTCGTTGTGAAGTTGAGATTGGCTCTAAATTTGAGAAATGTTTGTTGACAACCAGCGGTCCCTTCGTCGTGAAGTTGAACTTGCGTTGTCTGGAGTCCAATATCCTTCGTTGTGAAGTTGAGATTGGCTCTGAATTTGAGAAATGTTTGTTGACAACCAGCGGTCCCTTCGTCGTGAAGTTGAACTTGCGTTGTCTGGAGTCCAATATCCTTCGTTGTGAAGTTGAAATTGGCTCTGAATTTGAGAAATGTTTGTTGATAACCAGCGGTCCCTTCGTCGTGAAGTTGAACTTGCGTTGTCTGGAGTCCAATATCCTTCGTTGTGAAGTTGAAATTGGCCTTGAAATTGTTTATTGACAACCAGCGGTCCCTTCGTCGTGAAGTTGAACTTGTGTTGTCTGGAGTCCAATTTCCTTCGTTGTGAAGTTGAAATTGGCCCTGAAATTGTTTATTGACAATCAGCGGTCCCTTCGTCGTGAAGTTGAACTTGCGTTGTCTGGAGTCCAATATCCTTCATTGTGAAGTTGAAATTGACTCTGGGTAAAACCTGCAAAGATATGCATATACGCGATGTTATGGATGTCATGCTTTTAGGTATGCCTAAAATGTATATGCAACATATGTTATTCTGGGCTCTGGAGAGAAATCTCGATCTCCGGTGGCCTGTCGTCGTTGACTCTTGATTTTGACACCTTGAAGTTCCGATCTCTGATCTTGAATTCTTCAAATGTTTGATTTTTTTTTGGGATGCTTCTCAACCATCTCAAGCATGTGCATGAGCCTTGATCGGCTTCTGGGTACCTGTACTTTTCAATGAATCTTTGTACAGTAATATGCGATTATCTTTCACAAAAAATAAATAAATCATTAGGTTTAAATCTAATTCAAGATGCTCAGAAGGAATTAGAGGAAATATTGTCTTTATTCATAAGGGAGGAGAAGAACAAATAATACATGGCAAACATTCTAAAAAACGAATACACGATGATGTGTCAATGAATGTCTTAGATCTCGATAACGTGGGCACTTCTGAGCTGAAAAGCCGTTTAGTGACCTTGAATGCAGCCTTTGCCAAAGGATCTTTGAAAATGTGACAACGTTTGGGAGGGTGCAACATTTCTCCGATTTGTTGAGTTCGTAGAAGATTCATGTGCCGGGATGTTTCTACCGTTAATATCCAAATCGCCCTTTCCGGGTTTTCAACTTGGACTCATCCTTGGTTGCAAGACGCCCTTTGCGGGTTTTCATCTTGAACCCACCTTATTTTCTCTTCTTTTGTTCTTTTTTGCTCTTTTTCTTTTCTCAATTTAGGGTGCCCTTTCGGGTTTCACCCTAAACATTCTT